AATCATTAAGTTCCAAGTTTTTAAAGCCTGTCAACAGAAATGAGATTATTAAACATATCAGTTCATTGAAAAAAAACTGTTCACCCGGTTTTGGTGGAATACAAACAAAAATTATAAAGCAATATCATTTGTACTTAATTGAGCCATTAGTACACATCATAAATCTAATTTTTAAAACTGGCTGTGTACCCTAATGCTATAAAACGACTATTGTTACCCCAATATATAAATCTGGAGATAAAACTAAAATTACAAATTTTCGTCCAATTGGAGTTATTACGAATTTCGCTGAAATATTCGAAAAGTGTCTTAGAGGGATTATCAAGCTTTTTATCTAGTAATAATGTTTTGTCAGAAAATCAATTTGGTTTTAGCAATGGCATCAGTAGCCCAGATGCGATACTTAAGCTTACAAGAACCATTTCAAAAAATCATTGAAAGAAATGCATTGCGGCCTTCCTATACCTTGCAAAGGGATTTGACACAGTGCCTCATGACTCCCTTCTGGATGTCCTCGATATTTATGGGATCAGGGGTGTTGTGTCGGAGGTTTTTGCGAGTTACTTGACAGGTAGAATACAGATGACTAAAATCGGAAATGTGATCAGTGACTCGTCAGAAATAGAAATGGGCATACCACAGGGCACCGTTATTGGGCCATTACTATTTATATTATATATAAACTCTTTGACAGATATTAATCTAGAAAATGGTATGGTGGTTTCATACGCTGATGACACCGCCGTGGTCTTTGTGGCGGAAACATGGGAAGAGTATATGAAAAAACATCTTTTGGATTAGAAAAAATAAAATGTTGGCTTCATTCATCAAACTTAGTTTAAATGTGGATAAAACTAATTACATGGCCTTTTAATAATAGATCAAAATCTTAAATGTGCTTATAGTGTATTTACACCCAAGATAGAATGGATGCGTGATTGCCAAAAGCAAGGACGGCGTACAGGGCCGCATTCAGGGCTATCTCTGAATGATGGACTACCACCAACGTCTTTAAAACAAAGATGACAGTATTTAACAGAAACAGAAACTTAAAAAATTACTCAAATACACTTAACAACAACAGCAACAACCAAGCAAGGTGAATACGAAAACACGAGCACGCAGTGATACACGCGACGGACGGTGGCCTGATTGCAATTCTGCCTGCCCTGCTCCTGCCCCGCGCATTATTCCGCTAGGCGACTGCTTGAAATTTAATGGCGAATTGACCAATCAGAGGCGTTGTCCCCACCTGTTACCGAGAGATCACGCGCTAACTATTATTATTTACATCTCATCTTGAATTTGGATTCAGTTTAGATTAACTAACAATCAACAAAAACTAATTATAAAATTTTACAAGATCAGAGAAATTATAAACAATCATTTATTAATGTGTCTGTAAAGCACTAGTGGAGTCATTACTCAGATACGGGATAATTGTGTGGGGAAGTTTATATCAGACAGCATTAAAACCTTTAAAAACTATCCAGAATTACATATTAAAGATAATTTTTAGAAAAAACAAAAGATATCCTACTTGTCATCTTTATAGTGAAAAAATACTACCATTGTATATTTTAGAAGTCTGATCCTTTATGTATAAAAATCCTTTAATAAGAGAATATGTTAGTCATCCTCATTCAACCTGAAACAATGCTGATAGAAATCTAATAATACCCAATAGTTTCACAAACATAAACTATGATCAATTGACTATATTGGTCCGAAAATCTACAACACTTTGCCTGGGACACTGAGGATAATAAATAAATTAAAATTGTTTAGTTCAGAGTGTAGATCATTTGTTGTGGCAAACTTTGATAGGTTCATAGCTCTTTGCTAGAATATGCAAATGTTTAGTTCATTAATTTATGTTTTTTTTTAGTAATTTAAATTCTGAGTTGGTTGATTTTTTATCTTTATTTAAGTGGCTACAAAGTAATTGGCATGACATTATAATTATATGAATTGTCAAATAATTATTTGACCTGGAGTTATTTTGTTTTAGTCATTTTACTATTTTATTATTCAAATGTTAAATTACACCTTATTTAAGATTAGTGCATACGGATATTAAGTTATCTAGGTACCACATAAGAAAAACTATACATGTTGTATTTTAGTGTAATATATAAAGCCACTGTATATATCGCCATCACTTTGTAATATATTGTATTGTATATTGTACAATATATAATATGTATTATACAAATGTTTATTTTATGATGTGTTATAAAATACAAGGGAATAAACGTTAAACGAATACAAGGGAATAAACATAAGCCTGTATTGTTCGCCACACGTCTTTCAATATCATGAATTTTCATTTCAGGATGCTCTAAAATTTCGCTTTTATAAACGTTAAGGACAATTCCTTTTGCCTGGTTATTCAAATGTCCCTTCTTGTCACGTTTTCGGGGAGGAGACATCACTGTCTCAAGGAAGCATTAGGAGAAATATTCTCAGTTACATCTGCCATATCCGTAGACGAAATGCTAACGTATAAAAACACGCTATGTATGTACCGAATATGAACGCGCCTAGGCATGCTTCTGATCAGGTGGTCAATGTTCTCCTGTGGTATCTCATTCCAGGCAACCACCAAATCCTCTTGAAGTGCTTCTAGAGTCTGAGGAGGACGTTGCAAATTGTGCAATCTCCTACCCATCATATCTCACACGTGCTCAATTGGGGATAAGTCGGGAGTTCTTGGTGGCCATGGTAACAATGTGACATCATTATGTTGAAAGAAGTCTATTGTGACTCTTGCAACATGTGGTCGGGCATTATCTTGTTGGAAAGTTGGATCTGCCAGGGTGTCAAGATAATGTAAAAGATGGGGTTCTAGAACTTCGTGGATATAACGCGGCGCGTTCATGTTACCTCTGATGAAGATTAAAGGTGACCTGGAACCATAAGCTATAGCACCCCAAACCATAACTCCAACAATGTGATGAACATGTCTTTCAACAAAAAACTGTGGATTCCTCCTTTCACCACGTCGCCTTCTAACCCTTACACCGACGTAATCGCCTTGAGTGGTGCAGACAACAGTCACTCTGGGATCAGGAATGGAACAGTATTGTCTTTAGTGACGAGTCTCGATTTTGTTTAGGCATGCACGATGGTCGTGCCAGGGTTAGAAGGTGACGTGGTGAAAGGAGGAATCCACAGTTTTTTGTTGAAAGACATGTTCATCACACTGTTGGAGTTATGGTTTGGGGTGCTATAGCTTATGGTTCCAGGTCACCTTTAATCTTCATCAGAGGTAACATGAACGCGCCGCGTTATATCCACGAAGTTCTAGAACCCCATCTTTTACATTATCTTGACACCCTGGCAGATCCAACTTTCCAACAAGATAATGCCCGACCACATGTTGCAAAAGTCGCAATAGACTTATTTCAACATAATGATGTCACATTGTTACCATGGCCACCAAGATCTCCCGACTTGTCCCCAATTGGGCACGTGTGGGATATGATGGGTAGGAGATTGCTCAATTTGCAACGTCCTCCTCAGACTCTAGAAGCACTTCGAGAGGAGTTGGTGGTTGCCTGGAATGAGATACGACAGGAGGACATTGACCACCTGATCAGAAGCATGCCTAGGCGCGTTGGAGAATGCGTAGCACATCAGGGTGCATCCACACATTATTAAAGGTCAAGGGGCTTTAAAGCAGTGCAATTATTTTGAAATTTTTATCATTTACTCATTATGCTTCATTAAGTACTTATACAAAATTTTATTAAAATAAAACCATTTAAACTGGGTGTTCGGATTTATATGTCACTTAGTATACATTCCAACATTATTTTATGGATTTTCTCAATCATTTCTGAAGTTGTGACCTCAACGGGTCGTCCTGAGCGAGGCTCTTCAGAGGTGCTCACACGACCCATTTTAAATTCAGAAACCCACTGCTTAATAGTTGAATATGATGGGGAGGAGTCTCCTAGTGTTGAATACATCTCTTCTTTTATTTGTTTTGGTGTAAAACCTTTCAAATAGAAGTATTTGATGACAGCACGTTGTTCCAATTTTTTCATTTTTACGAAAACAACGGACGCGTCTCGCGCAATGTGCTCTCAAACGCAAACTAACGTAGCGATTGGGCTGGAACTGTACATACAAGCTTGGTGGGAATTGTTCTATAGGACGCCACTCCAAAAGTAGACCTAGTGGCGCCATCTCTTGGCCAGGCCGGAAACTTTTCACCCCACCCTCGTATATACTTCACAACCTGTAACTTCCACATGTATCAGACTAGAATAACTGATGACTTTAGGGTACCCAAATTCTCACTATCGATATCAAAATAGAATTTCCCAAGTTTAAGGCCAGTATCGTCAGTCGTCCCTACAATTGTAGGGTGCCTTTATGGCCTCCTTGATTGTCATAGTTTTCTACTTCTCCGTGTCAGCGCTCTATTTTGAGGTTATGTCACAAACATCTATTTGCATCAAATTATGCTTGCTTTTGAGTTATAATGTTTTATCAGCCTGAAATTTCCTACAATTTAAAAAAAAAAACATATCTTCACTATAGGAGAGCGCTGACGCTGATACGGGACAAGTGTAATCTAGAAATTTTTGAAGGAGAGAAAGGAGTAAGACAATCAAGGAGGCCATAAACGCGCCCTACAATTGTAGGGACGACTGACGATACGGGCCTAAATCTATACAATCATCCACCAACAATTATTCGTCAATTTAACACAGTTCGGTTTAAACATAATTTAAAGGAGTTCATGACTGAACATCGTTTTTATTCCATAGGTGAAAATTTTAGTTAAAAATTCTAGCCAGAAACGTATGCGTACTCTCGAATTTTTATATGCGTATCTATTTTTTTTTCTATGTTGTTACCTGTACCTCTGCGTTTTTTCTATGTAAATGCTACTTGTCCATGATTAAATTGGTAAATTCACCCTGACTGAACCTAATATATTTTTTCTGCCATATTTTGTCAAAATCGCTCTGTCAATATGATGTTATCAAAATGTCAAAATCAGAATGTACTCATTTCATTCAGAATTTATTTTATTATTACTACTGTGCAACCAATACTGTGCGGCGCTAAAAGGAAGAATCGTTGGAGGTAAAGTGTGTACCAACGAGAAACACGAGTTTGCTGTTGCCCTAGCAGATAAAACTTTTATCGTCAAGTGTGGTGGAAGTCTTTTGGAAGCCAGATGGGTAGGTTATTTCGCTGATTAAGACACAAATCAGTTCAAAATCTATACAAACCTATACACCTTAGGAAAAACCATTGTTATACATGGGAAATCATTTCTTGGCAACAGAGCATCGGCTCGTCTACTTTCATCGCTATTCGTACATATTTCCTACCGTTAACCGCAGACCTGTATCACGAATGAGAATAATAGGCAGATACACTGTGTTGCCAATTTGAGTAGAGCTTCCCGAATTGTGGGGAATTTAGAGTTAAGTGTTGATTCATTCGAGCTTTTAATCAGCATGGCCTAGACGTTAGAACTTCATAAAGATAACATTGAAGCTGAATGCTGCTGGAGTATAGTGTTTCGAATATTCAAAGCGGAGCGGGACACTATACTCGTTCAATGGGTCATCAAGCCACAGTCTTTTCAACAAAGAAATTATTTTACGAAAATGCGTTATATTTTTACGATTTTGTCGTCACCAAATCTCTGTTTCTCAAAATGTACGTCTATTGTAGAATTTTCAGCAAACTAAGCAATAAACGTGATCTAGTATTTACTCAACATTACGGATTTCTCGAAATACATTAAAAAATGTGACCTAGATACCTAACTGCCCCAAGCTCTTTAAATATAACACCTTAAACCAGGATTATCAGGTGCTCAGTCACGTTGATTGTCATGTTGTACTGCGCAAGTCAGCAAACAATCTGGCATAATAAACGTTAGGAATCATCAGGTATTGCCAGATTCCCGAATACCGGGCACCATAGTAACCGTTATAGTTGTCCTTCAAAGTTGTCAAATCGCACCTATGGCGCAAATTCGCCACACCAGGCAACTGTGCCATAAACAAACCCTGTTTATCACTACTATTTGATAGTCATATGGTAGTTGTAGCCCTATCTAGCGGTCCATGATTTCTCTCAATACTGTTGTATCTCTACTGGCAACAAGAATAGGGATTACAAAATCATTTATACAACAATATACAAACATGAAAAATATGATTTGAACCATGAAACATTAATACAATTTTAATAGTTTGAACTTTTTTCATTTTTGGAATACTCTTATGTGGAATCCGCAGCTATTTTTCCCGAAATTTGGGTAGACTTAGATTTCTTAGAAATATGACATATTGGTATCGGCAACTCTGCGAATGGGAGAAACAAATCGCATTTGTTGAGCGCATCCGTCTAAGCGGTAGGCGCCATCGCCCGTTCTGCCATCTCTCTCTTTTATCACTCTTCTACTTTACCCCGTTGTCCGTCACACAACGAAGCTGCCACATAGGATCCTACAATCGAGTGTCTTCCACGCACCTACATACTTTTGTATATTTCCATCTCTCTTCCTCATCATAATGTATAATAATGTTTTTTCCCAAGGTGTATAAGTTTGTATAACTTGTTCCAATTTCACAACTACGGACATATCAAATTAAGCACAAATAGCAAAATGTTAATCAACTAATTATACCTCGGTTTTATGTACTTAAAAATGTTATATTACGAAGTTTTCAGTCCCTATGTAGACATCAACTAATACCTATACAGGGTGTCCGCAAAGTTGGGGTTTTCCTTTACACGACGTGTAGATCTTGAAAACATAATCAATTTTTCTTAGTACCATATACACCAATGTCTTAAGGGAACCGAGATAAAGGGCTCTGCAACATCAAAAATATCTGAATACCGTCCTGTAGCCGCGACTCGCGATATCCCCGACTGGTACTAGGACACTAGCTCAACGCGACGACAGAACTGGGTCGGGGGTCGGGGTCAGTGTGTCAGGTCAGTATGCAACCTTCAACCGACGGGTACGGTCACGCGTGTAGAGGTCAACGAACCCGTATAATCGATTGCGTTTCAAAAAACAACAAGCACTAGAGACGTGGCTAGAGAAGTGCAAGTATCAAAAACTAAAGTGTGGCAAACGCTGCGTGAAGAGGGGCTGTATCCGTTTCACGTCCAACGTGTACAAGCCCTTCAACCTGACGATTTTCCAGCAAGAGTGCGGTTTTGTGAGTGGTTGTTGCATCAACATGACAATAATCCGGACTTTTTGAAGTGCATATTGGTGACAGACGAATCTACGTTCACGCGTAATGGGGTGAATAACTTTCGCAACACTCATGTTTGGTCAGTAGAAAATCCGCACGCTGTCCGTCGGGCACATTTTCGGTGAATGTTTGGGCTGGCATGGTGAACGGTATGCTCATTGGACCATTTATTCTCCCAAATCGATTGGACGGGATGCAACACCTAGACTTTTTACGCAACATTTTGCCCTCCTTGTTGGAAGATGTGCCATTAAGTGTAAGACAATCAATGTGGTTTCTGCACGATGGTCATATTTGTTACCTCTGTTCGTGGTCTACAGGTCTGCACCACCGCCGGCGTCTGCTCGGTAGCGCATCAGCTGATTTCATTTACTGTTGGAGCGGTATGATTTCGGGCAGAGACGTACTTAGCCCTTCTCGTCAACTGGAGAGTGAGTACTTTTTCCTTTATTTTTTTTACTTGGTCGCCCTCGTTTCATTACACATTACCTTTGTTATTTCAAGGGTAGTTGTTTCTGAAAAGGAAAACCCCAACTTTGCGGACACCCTGTATAATACTCGCATATCGACCATTTCGTCCTTTTTGTCGACATTCAGGGCATTCCGTACTTAAATGGACATAATGAAATGGTCGGTATAGTTGTAGACACCTTTCTTGGCGGTTACGTCATCAACGCCATATGAAATAAGTTAACAGATCGAGTCTCCGTACCATGGGCGGAACACTGTGCAGACTAATCTTCAGCGTATCTGCTACTCTCTCCAGTACGCATGAAGTAGGTAACAGGGGTAACCGCTGTTTTCATTCTCTTTCTGGAAATACTCCAATGAATTTAGCACGAGATGTCGGCCTTCTCCACTGATCGTATTTCCGGGCATTTTACAATTTTACATTGAAGATTGATAACTCTGACAAATATGATTGAAGGGCATTCATACGAAATATAGTCCTGAATTTAGTGATGTTTATATTTTCTCAGTTGACCATGAACTGTTGCTCGTTATTTTGTAGGCAAATCTGGACTCTTCTCTGTTTCTGTTTTTTTTAAACAACTAAGGTTTGACAATGTCAATGTATGAAATATTAAACGTTTTTGCAATCAGAATTAAAAAGCGCAAAAATCCAATCGTCTATAAGAAAAAATTAAGTTGATGCTGGAGGACAAGAGATGATGAAACGTCATATTGAAATTAAAATTATTCCATTTTGTAGAGGACAAAAAGTGGCAATGTTAATGAGCCGTTTATTCATAAATTCCACTAAAAATAAAGTCAGGAACGAACCAAAACGATTTTGAGAAAATTGTTTCTTCCGTCTCTCTCCGGAAATACTTTGAATGTCGAAACGTTCTAAGCAGCGTTTTGTTAATTACCCAAATACGTCACTGCCTCAATTTAAGCGACTTCGTACCTCTTTGAAACACCCGGTATAATAATAATAATAATATAATATTTATTCACTCAATGTACAAAGATAACAAACAATATGAGTAAATAAATATAAAATCAAAACAGGCCCAATAGAAGGCATCGCCTGTACATGGACCAATAATTTAAGTTGAAACTGTAGAATGCAAATAACAAAAAAGGACAAAAATTAGCTACAGCAGATTATGTATTTAGTTGATGTTCGTATTTATGAGTTTATGAATTTCAGTCCTAGATATAGAATGTAGCCACTTTTTTAAATTTCTTTTGAAACAAATTCCGAAACGTAAATCTTTTAAGTCTTTAGGTATAATTTCATAAAATTTAGGCGCTAAATAGAGATATGATCGCTGCATTATAGATTTATGCGGTTGAGGAACTACTGTGCCACGAATTTTGTACCTGGTATAATGATTATGTTTAATTTTTTGGTCGGTGTTTACAAATTTATGGTAGTGAGTGATACTGTGTAAGAAATAAAGCTGTCTTATATCATACATTCGAACATCTGCGTATAATTTTTCAGTGGGATAAAGTTTCGTTTTTTTAAATATCATTTTTAGAATACTTTTTTGAAAAACATCTAAATTATAGATATGTGAGGAACATGTAGCTCCCCATGCTAATATACCATATGTGAGATGAGGCTCAATCAGTGCATGGTATAATGTTCGAAGATATTTTTCTGTCAATATATTCCCAAGGTATTTAATTTTGTAGGATACAAATCTAACTTTCTTTAAAATATAATTGACATGGATGTCCCATCGTAAGTGAGGATCCAAGACCACTCCAAGGTATTTTATGTTGGGCACTCTATTAATTTGCATTTTTTGATCATTAATATTGAAGGAGGAATTTGTGTAATTTGGCAGATGTCTAGCATAAGATCCAAATGGTAAAAAATGTGTTTTAGAGTAGTTAATGCTTAATTTTCTACTGTTAAACCACCGAATAATTTTGATAAAATCATTTTCAATTACATTTTTCAGATCAGACCAGTCAGTGCCTTCATATAATATTGCAGTATCATCTGCAAAACTAGTTATTTTGCCAACACAATTAATTTGGAAAATATCATTTAAATATATATTGAAAAACAGCGGACCTAAGACAGTTCCTTGTGGGACACCACACTTAATATACATTTCTTTACTAAATGATCCTGATATCTGCACAGATTGTGGGCGATATGACAAATAACTTTCGATCAGTGAGTACGCGTTTCCTCTGAAACCAATTCTCTCCAATGCTTCTAATAATAATTTGTGATTAACTGTGTCGAAAGCTTTCTTTAAATCGCGCAGTTACGCTAGATTTCTAGGGGTACTTGGGACTAAGCCTTTCTACATCCTTGAAGCATCTAAAGCACTGTTATTCAACAGTTACTCGCCATATGGAAATGTCAACTGAGATCTAAAACACACTACATAAAATAACGCGTATTGCTTCAGCTATGATCTGTAACATCGCAGCTGACTGACTGTTCTTTCAAAAAAATTACTAAATTTAGTAAAAAAAAGAATTTATGCTACTAGCCACTTCTCCCAGCATTCGCTTGGGGGATTAGCAGCGACAAGTATAGGGGGTCGTAAAAACAACTGCTTGGTAGCGGGTTCTTTTGGCATTTATTTCGTGATTATACTATTGTCGCAGGTGCTAACAGCGGCCCACTGTTGCAATACCATGGTCCACCTGCGATACGCCATGGCCGGTATTTCCACCAATCCGGTGGAAGAATATATTTCAAATTCCGTGACGGTGACTACAATTGAGGCTTGCATCACACACCCAGATTTCCAGCAGGACGATCTGCTCAACGATATTGCACTAATCAGACTTGAAAGACCTATCAAAGAGACAGCCACAATTTCATATGTCCAGTTGCCTACCACCAAGCTAAATGACGACATACACAAGTGGTGTACGCAGTAAGTAAAGGCTCGATTTAATCCTAATTGAAAGACCGTTGTGTAAAATCATAGGCAGTAAAAGGTAAGTGTTACAGCGGCAGCGTGGTCCCAAACCATCCAAATATCGGGTGATTTTTTAAGAGGTATGGGATTTGATTTTCAAAAAAAACACAAAAAAATTGAAAAAACGATTGAATCTTTATTTGAGTCGATAGAACGGTCGATATAATTTAATGTTTAAAGATTATTTCATGTAAATATTGGCCGCGGCTCGGCTTTAGATGGCCCATGCGCAAGGTCCAATTTTGGCACACTCTCTCCAACATATCGGCCGGTATCTCACGAATAAATGCTTCAATATTGGCTTCCAGTGCATCAATCGTTGCTGGTTTATCCCTGTAGACATTAGCCTTAACATGGCCCCACAAGAAATAGTCCAACGGCGTTAAATCACACGATCTAGGCGGCCAATTGACGGGCCCCAAACGTGAGATAAACTGTTCACCGAACTCGCCTCTCAATAGGGCCATTGTTTCGTGTGCGGTGTGGCATGTGGCATCGGCTTGTTGAAACCACATGTCAGCCAAGTCCAGCTCTTCCATTTTGGGCAAAAAAAAGTTTGTTATCATCGCACGGTAGCGCTCGCCATTCACAGTTACGTTCCGGCCATTGTCGTCTTTGAAGAAGTACGGCCCGATGATGCCACCGGCCCATAATCCACACCAAACAGTGATTTTTTCGGGATGCATTGGTAGCTCTTGCAATGCTTCTGGCTGCTCTTCACTCCAGATGCGGCAATTTTGCTTGTTAACGTACCCATTCAACCAGAAATGAGATTCGTCGCTGAACACAATTTTTCGATCAAAATGTGGATCTTCCTCCAACTTTGCCAGCACCCATTCACCAAGTGGAAAACGTTGTGGGAGGTCGTGTGGCTTCAATTCTTGCACCAGCTGTATCTTATAAGGTTTTACACCCAAATCCTGTCGCAAAATTTTCCACGTAGTGGAGAAACAGAGGCCCAATTGCTGCAAACGGCGGCGAATCGACATTTCACGGTCATCACTAACACTGGCGGATACAGCCGCAATATTTTCTTCAGTCCTTACTCTACGTCTGCGTGTTGATGGTTTAATGTCCAATAATGTAAACTTTGTTCGAAATTTAGTTACAAGCTTCCGAATAGCTCCCTCAGTAGGCCGACCAAATTGCTCATAAATTGGAAGCAGTGCTCGATGCACTCTCTTAACCGAGCATGAATTTTGATAGTAAAATTCAATAATTTGCAAGCGTTGTTCGTTCGTAAGTCGATTCATGGTTAAATTATAGACCAAACTGAACAAGTTTGACAATGACACAAGACACGATTCACGCGTCATCTGTCAAAAACAGTGTTGCCAAAAAGATACTAGCAAAAAAATCACCGTTTATTAGTTTTCATTATTTCACGTGATTACTACACTTATCGTCGCGAAACGGTTGATACAGTACCCTGCTGTAAGGCATGGGGATCTCAATACCTGTGGGAGATACAGCTTAGGTTAAATTAGGAAAAAGCTGCATTCTTTGGGGCGTATTGTCAAAATTTCATCGCTTACTGATGTATCTGGAAAAAACTAAAATTTGGTCAAATGATTTTTGTTGGGCCCTCTATAACTTGGAAAGTAATGCTCGCATTTGGACGAAATTTTTTATTAGTCATATTTCACACACCATAGGTTTTCCCGTAAATTTGTCTTCAAAACAGAATGTTTTTGATATGCGTCTCATTCTGCTATCTGAGCTCAGCGCCCGGCGTAACGGTCTGCTTGATTGTTCTGCTCGTAATGCGGCGGTGCTTCGGCGGGTGCTGCCGCTTCTGACGATATGAAGGGGCCACGCTGCCCAGATGGACGGTAACTACCCATAGGGCAGGGAAAGATGGCACTGCAACCTCTAGGGCTTATTTTGCCTTGATCCTCGAGTTTACAGTGCTCTACCCAGTAGTGTACTGTTCTGTACCAGTTGGTACAGTTTTCCTCCCGGTACTGTTCTAAACTCTCTCGGTTCTGGTTTTCGTTTCCCGAAGAGTTGACGTCTTTTGTGATTCAGCGCCTCTCGCACTCAGCCTGATTTTGTTCTGGAAGAAGCCCTGTAATTGCGCGGAGTTATACTCACTGAGAGCAGTTCCGCAACCTTGTTTGGAAATGGTCTCGAGGTGCATCATTTCCCATGCCTATATCCAGTCACTTAAGTGCCAGTGTTCCTTATGCTAGTTTCTTACCCATTCTTTCACTCGATTGTGCTTTATGGCAGGTTCTGGGCCTTTATAGAGTGTGAATGGTCCTTTCCTTGCGAGCTCATCTGCCCTTTCATTTTCTGCATTACCTGATTGCACAGTGTAAAATTGCATATATCAGGTAAAAAAATAAGTTCGTGCGTTTGCTGAATATCGCAGATTGCCATGGATGTTGTTGATCGATAGCGATTGTTTGTTACCTGTTGTCACTTTAATATGAATCCCACTTTTCTCACACACACAAAAAGTTTCTCAAAATTGTTACATACGTAGTTTTAATTACTGAAAATGTATGAGTACAAACTTGGTACAAAAGCTGCAGCGGCGGCGCGAAAAATATGTACCGCATTCGGAGATGATGCCGTTAGTGATCGAACAGCATAGAAGTGGTTAAAAAAAATTCTTCGGGAGATAGCAGTTTGAGCGATGAACCGCGCTCAGGGAGACCAAAAATTATTAACAACGAGGATCTTCGACAGGTTGTGGTCGCAAATTCCAGGCCAACGTGCCAAGAACTTGAAGAAATGTTCAGAGTGAGTCCTGAAACTATTCGTTTACATCTTTATCAGCTAGGAAAAACGTGGAAGTTAAGCAAATGGGTCCCACATGAACTGACAAATGATAAAAAATTAAGTCGTCTTACCATTTGTTCAGCAAACATTTCACGCAACGCTAATGAACCATTTCTTAATCGGTTATTAACCTGCGACGAAAAATGGATCTTGTATTCTAATTATAAGCGTTCGTATCATTGGTTGTCGCCTACTGATTCGGTACCACACACGCCCAAGGCTTCCTTGCACCCAAACAAGGTTTTGTTGTGTGTTTGGTGGACAGCAACTGGAATTGTCCATTATGAGTTTTTGGAAATTGGTCAAACCATCACTGCTAACTTGTAAGCAGCTTCAACGAGTACAAGCAGCAGAAACAGCCTTCTTTGATCAATCGGAAGAAAGTGATATTCCTGCAGGATAACGCCAAACCTCATACCGCAAAAGTGACCCGGGAAAAAATTTCTGAACTCGGCTTGGAAACGTTACCGCACCCGCCACACTCTCCCGACATTTCTCCCAGCGATTATCACCTTTTTTTGTCTCTTGACAACTGTATCAGGTACCGACAGTTCACAACTCGAGATGGTGTAATAAATGCAGTCCGCCAATTTTTTTACTCCAAATCCAGGGAGTTCTACATTACCGGCACACAAAAATTGGTTCCACGTTGGCGAAAGGTCATTGAATGTGATGGTAATTATTCGAAGAATAAATAGTGTCTTATTGTTTCTCAACAAAAATTTATATTTTTCTACTAAAAACCGCACGAACTTATTTGGTTACCTGATACTTCTACCTGAAACACAGAGGTTTGTCTTCCAAGCGGTATACGATGCCCAGGATTGCACCTGTTCCCATATATACCTCGACCTGTTCCCTGCTCAGTTTTTGACCCGTCAGTGTCCCAGATATTTTGTTCTGGGAGTTCTTTTTGAATACAAATCTGGGAACTATGTGGTCTTTCCTCGCATCGAGTATGTCACTTTTTACATGTTATCTTATTTGATTATGCCCAAGGTCCTCATATCTTCTCTTCGGCGGGAGGACCAGCATGGTTTCAAGTGCTGCAGTTGGAGAGCTCTTCGTTATACCTGTTAGGCCCGTATCGTCAGTCGTCCCTACAATTGTAGGGCGTGTTTATGGCCTCCTTCATTGTCATAGTTTTCTACTTCTTCGTGTCAGCGCTCTATTTTGAGGTTATGTCACAAACATCTATTTGCATCAAATTGTGCTTGCTTTTGAGTTATATCATGTTTTATCAGCCTGAAATTTCCTACAATTTAAAAAGAAAACATATGTTCACAATAGGAGAGCTCTGACGCTGACACGGAACAAGTGTAATCTAGAAATTTTTGAAGGAGAGAAAGGAATATGACAATCAAGGAGGCCATAAACGCGCCCTACAATTGTAGGGACGACTGACGATACGGGCCTTAACGACAGACAAGCACGTCTTTGTACCTTGCTTAATTTTGCAATGGCAGAGCTTTGTCTCATCTTTGGCCACCACACCAGAGATGCATAAGTAATCATGAGTCTTACCTCCATTATGTACGTCCAGTGCCTCATAGGAGGGCTCAACCCACATGAGAGCGTCTGATCAACATTAAAGTCGACTCCGCTCTCCTTTTAATGTGTTTAATCTCCGGGTCCCAGATCAGTTTGGAGTCTAGTATTACCCCTAGATACTTGACTTCCCCCGACAGTTATATCTGCTCTCCCAGAGGGCATAGAGGTCCTTGCCTCTCTAATTTCTTCCTTCTGGTGAAAGCAACAATGAATGTCTTAGACTTAGAGGGACTTACGTTTCAACCCTCTTTTGACGTCTATATTCACAGAAGTCATATGAACTCCAAAAAAGCTTATCGTTTTCGAAGGAATTTAACTTTTAGACATCATATTCACAATTTCACATGGCATTTAACTAAACGATTTTTTGTATATCTTATTAGAAAACAGACCTGTCCTTTGGTTTCAGAGCCATAGTTATGGGATGGGGTTGGCTAGACTATCACACAAGAAAAAGACCTTCCAGACTTCAGTGTGTCACTCTAGATGTAGTTTCTAGTAAAGATTGTTTACATTACTATCACAGTAGAAGAAATCCAGATACTGTGAGTATAAGGTTCAAAATCAGACTTCGATAAACTAAGACTGTTGTGTCTTTCGATCGTCTACACCACCAGAGCAGCGAGCCAGCATATTAGACATAGACATATGGGACATGTATACGTATATGATTTACTTGGTTGACATACGAGGTCTGCAAATTAAGTGAGGAGACTGATTATTTTATTTTTTCTTTATTCAAATACAGGGTAGGGTGACTTTGAAGTTGAGTCATTAATTTTCAGATAATGATTGTAGAAGGAAGATAAACCAAAATATGTGTGTAAAAATAAAAAAAAATTAAAAAGTATATAATTATAAAGTATCCTCCCGACAAGTATTTCAGTGCGGACCTGTATTTGATCGTGAGGTCCCCTGTGAGGTCTTAAGTCACCTGATTCACGAGCCCGTTGTACTACATTAACAAAGGCACGAGGGGTTGGTTACACTCGATTGGGAAACCGATCCGCATAAACATGTGCCATTTTTTATTTCGTTTGAGCCACGCAACAGATACCACTATTCACTGACAGTGACTGTATACAAATGAATGAAATAATTGTAAAAAGCATCGTTCCAAATTCTTTCGCTTTTTTGTTTCCGATGCGATGAACCGATACGGCGGATTATATCCGTTGTCGCCAAACACGACCACATAATATTATTATTGAGACAGGGCGGTACTCAAACTTCCAAAGGGCTATAACTTTGTTACTTTAATTTTACCAGGAAAATGGTAAAGGAAAAAAACATTTCTTTTAATCAGATCTACTCACTGTTAAAATAAATGACTCAACTTCGAAGTCACCCTGTGTAATTACAATTTTATATTTTTAACCATAATACTCGAGCGAGTTCAAACTTGTACTGAAGGCGGATCACATGTCCCCAAGTCCGGTGCCTCTAGTGTTGCCAGATCGAACGCTACGTTGCCAGTCTCATCACTTAGTTCGCACATAATCAAATGACATTCCGCAAAGGGAAGCGACGTATCACGTATAAAACGTGCAGACACCAAATGGGAATGCTATATCTCAATCTACATTCAATTGAAGCAAAGTGGCTGCTTAAGGCTGTGCTATTAATTATATGTTTTAGCTAGTTGTTCTTATAACGAAGGAACTCTTTGATAGTTGAGTAAGCAATTTGTCTGCATGATTAATATAATCTAATGTAATTTGTGATCAATGGTCAGTCTCAAAAATTTGACGATTTAAATGTCATAATTTTGTTTTATTAACATCGGCAGTTGAGTAATTGTTGTCATACCATTTTTTGATTGATTGTGTCACTACTAATTTTGGTCCTAATTCCATTTATATCTGTATCTGCTTATATTGTGGTATCGTCATCAAAAACTATGAATTTACCATTCGTTAAATTATAGACTAAAAATAGGATTGGACCTAATACTGTTCCTTGAGGTATCCCTGCGTGTATATTTAATTTATTTGAAATATGTGTATTGTGGGCTTTTACTTCATTGTTTTCTGTTGAAACTACTTAGGTACTCTAAAATACCTTTTAGCTACGAGTGTTTAACTAGTGTACATAATTTTGCCAGTAGGTCAAACATTCGTAAAAAAGGCGATTTGCTATGAAATAATTATTTTTTGCTTTACTTTTCTTAACGAAAACCTATAAGCTTTCGTAAAAAGTTCATCCTTAAAGTTGAAATCTATTCAACAAAAATTGACTTTATTGCAAGATATAATTTTAAAAACGTTTCATGGAATTGGGCGTTTTATAAGTAGCACTGTGAATATGAGCCGTCCCTATTTTAAATGTCTTTTTTATTGTAAATATTTTCATTTACAAAATTGATAAGGATTTCATTTTATTATTATCAGAACCGCAAGTGTGTCAGAAAAAAGCAACAATTTCAGGAATTTTGGACAGATTATCTCTAAAGCTGGTTTTCTTATAGGTAGTGTGCACTTCAGGTGACGGGAAGGATGCATGCAGAGGTGACTCAGGAGGCCCGATGATCTGCAACGGCATTCAATATGGAGTCGTTTCATTTGGTATGAAATGCGCTACTAAATACCCAGGAGTTTATGCCAGAGTAGACAACTATTTGAATTTCATAGATAACACAAGAGCAGATTACAGGGCGGGTAGCATGACCATTCAGACTGTTTCAACCATTGTAGTGATATGTGTATATATAACTATGTTAATATGACATATGTCTATTCATTATTTTTACTGCTGCTGCTGCTGCTTCTTACGTAAATCAAAGGGCCAACTAAGTCCCACTGCAGTACTTTTTGTGAATAACCTTCACAGATATTCTGTGTGGTATAATATGGTGACTGTTTCTATGACTATGATCATTTGTACTTCATCAAAAGGCGGAAAAGACGTTTGTCAAGGTGACTCAGGTGGCGCAATGATATGTCGAGAAGTTCAATATGTATCGTCTCTTTCGGAATACTATATGGAGTATTCCCTTCAGTTCATATCAGGGTAGATCATTATTTGGACCTTAGTATAGTAGCAATGGACATCGCTGCCACAGCAACCAACGCCCGTGATCTGCCAAATATGCCACAGGCGCATCTAAGGTTAAATGATTCGATTCGTCAAAATGACATTTTTCAATCACAAATTATGCATTTACTTACAAATGAGACATCTGTTGATTTTCTTCTATTTGGTATATCACTGCCACGCTGCTTCAATAGAAGTGGTGGTAGAAAGATATAGTAAACAGCTATGTTTAGCGGAGCAACGCCATATAGTTGGCATCTGCAGTAATGATTCTTACCGTTTAAGATGTGCTGGCACACTAATCAATGAAAGCTGGGTAAGCATAAATTTCTTCTACCATAGAAATATCGCGTTGCCCAAAACAAGTGCTATTCTATGAGTATTTTTGTTAACTTCTTGACAGCCAAGCTTGACTGGATTTCATCTAAATGGTCAAAGACTAGTCTAGGGTTCCAGGATATGAAGTAATGCCAAATAATACGACTAGATCCCGTGTGTGGCGTGTAAAGAACATCCACAAATCAGTTAATCTAACAATGGTTCAAAAAATCCAGCAAATGAGGCAAGCAAAAAATGTGACATTTAAACAAACATATACATACCTTGAACCTAGCAGGGAACTACACCTCTTTATCACTGCAACGACCTGGCAGGGCTTAACTAGGTTCCAACAATTTGATATAACCAATCCAAAAGAAGATTGTTACCGACATACAAGGCCACGTATCAAGGCTATGGACTAGGATGAAAATCGAAGCCAGATATCGTCATGTCCTTAGCCTAACAACTGCCCTCAAAATAATAGAGAAATATTTTCGAAAAGCGTTTTTGCTTCTGCTCTCTAGGTTCACCGGCGGGCATCCCAATCTCGGCAGTACTGCAACACTGCATCGTATGGCCCTATTTGACTAACTTGATCCATCTAATTTCCCTGTTACACACGTTCATAACAAAATTTCTTATAGGGTTTAACTGGTGCTGATCATCATTTTTTATGAACTGATGATGCGTTGTGTGGAAAGTACAGAGTCGACCTATTTGACGCTATTTGCATTATACGGATAAACTTAAACGCTTATTCCACCTCTTACAGGTGTTGACTGCAGCCCAATGCAGGAAAGTGGACATAGTGGTAGCTGGTATATCTATCCAAGCTTTGGACTCTTTAAAAAACGTACACGTGCGCAACATAAATTACACACTTTCCCATCCTTTATACGAAACTGATGGAATGAACTATGATATCCAATTGATTAGATTGGACGAACCAATTCCAGAAAGCGACAACGTCAAATATGTTCAGTTACCTACAGAACGTTATGAAGATATAAATGAAAGATGCGAAAGGTAATTGAAATATGTATGATTCTAGTGGTTAACATATATTATATATACCAAGAAATCAGTGGCGGTGCTAGACCATATATGGCCGTCGGCGACATCAGCTTTGCGAGACCCCTTCCATATCATAGTCAAATAAAAAAACGTTAAATCAAATGATCTTAGTTATACACATATGCGTTTTATTGCTAATCATAAATATTTTAACAAAAATTAAATAAATAGTTCATCACAAAATAAAGTAGACGAACTTTCGGGCTTTTAGACTTTCTGAATTGTTGCATAACTAACGTCAGCCCCAATTTCCGCTTCCATTGATAGAATTTATACATCAGACAGTGTCTGTTGGATCATCGTGGTTCTCAAGTAGTTCTCAGTTGTGAGCTGAATTTTGAAAACTGCAGCTCTTTATTTAGTTCGAATGGCTTTATCTCTGTTTTCACCATTCCACAGTGTTGTTCCTAAGTCGTTACCTATCAAAAGTACAGAGCGAGCAGAGTGCGTCCAGCGTAAGGCACTTAAATATTTTGTGTCACGGTCACTACGCAAAAAGAGGTTTTGACGATTCGGTACTGTTAAGAATCTTTGAAGTTGAGTCGTTACAACTAAAGCACGATTTATCGTCACTAAGATTGTTCTGTAATATTAAGTGAAATTAATTTTCGCGTCCCTAGGCCAGGTAGCCTCTGTTATAATTTGTTTTACCTTTGTAATGCAAATATAGGGTATAAATCACCGTTAAACTATCTGTGTAAGTGTTTAAATGTGATCGAGAAAACTCTGTATTGAATTTTTACCGAGATTGGTACCTTCGTGAGATATATGTATAATCAATATAAAGCTATTTCCACTTTTCAAATACTGGCACACTCTTATACATTTATTTGTGTTTTCTTTTTTCATGTTCCGCTGTTGTTAAATTGTTGATTTATTTTCGTTGTTGGTATATTTCCTGTAATTAGGTGTTACTTGTTGGGAATTATAAATAAATGAAATAAAATAAACAAGCAGAAGTATCATTACATGTGGATTTACCGTTTGATCTCTCGTAATCTGTTGACTATAATTATGACACATTTTTATAAAACCAAAATGACGAAGAACTCATTTCCCTACAAAAATTTTTATATTACTTTTTTACATATGATCTTGATTTTCAATTAAACGCGTTCATCAAAATGGCTGTGAATGGTTCAGCCCTATCATGACGCCAATTTGAACTTATCATTATTTTATAAAAGTAATTTATTTTCTTGGATATTTTTGAAACAATATATTCATAGAGGCCTTCAACTTTTAATTTACTGTCTACGTATATGCTCAAATATTTAACTGATTCGATTGACACAATTTTTCATGATTAATTGTAAGATTTATCGTATTTTGATCTAAAGATTTCCCTATTATTTTGTTTTGTTTGTGTTTAGTTTAAGTTTACTTACATTTAACCAATTTATTACGTTTTTCATATCATTATTTAACAGCTCTATTGCAGTTTCAATGTCTTTATTTGATATATATATATATATATATATATATTAATGTATAATCAGCAAATAGTTGAATTTTGCAGTGTAGTAAAATATCAGGAATATCGTTAATATATAAAATAAACAGTAATGGATGTAATTTGCTACCCTGTGGCACACCTACCGAAATGTTTTTGATGTTTGATAATGTATTGCCAATTTTAGCTGTTTGACTTCTATTGATTAAATAATTTTGTAATAAATTGAATACTGAACCTGGAAATCCATAGCAATGCAATTCCGTTAACAATTTCTCCCTGTCAATAGTCTCAAATGCTCTCTTGAAATCTAAGAACAATGTTACTGTAAACTTTTTTCATCCATATTTCACCTCCATTCTTCTACTACCATTTGAATTGCTGTTTCAGTAGAATACTCTTTTCTGAATCCTGCTTGAAGTTTTGTGAATATCTTATTTTCTTCAATATATTCAATGGCTTGTTCTTATGTGATTCCTTCTAAGAGCTTCTCGACATCTGGCAGTCATTAATAGGCCGCATGTTTGTATATAACTCAGAATTCTGCACTTTTGGAACAGGAGTAATTGTAGAACATTTTAAATCAAGTGCGTTTTTTAGCCCTATGATTCTAGGATGGGGTATAATGGCCAAATCTAGCTGCAGAAAGAAACCTCCCAGGTTAAGCTGTGTAATACCCCCTTTTATACCACTAGAGAGGTGTCAAATGAAGTACAATGATAGCAGTATAATAAAGGTAATACTAGCAAATATGTTGGATAGTACGAGGGATGTCTTTTAAGTTATGCATATGGAAATAAAAGAACACGGTAGGTAGTTTTAAATGACTTTATTGTTTTTCGAAGTATTCTCCACGAAGATTAATACACATCTGCATGCGCTCGAACCAATTTTCGAAGCACTTATTCCACTCGTTTGCTGGCAGATCCAAAACGGCATTTTTGAATGCGTCAACTGCTTCTTCTGGGGACTGGAACCTTTGACCACGAGGTCTGTTTTTAATTTTCGGAAAAGTAAAGAAATCGTTAGGACTTAGATCGGGGATCGGGACTATATGGAGGATGGTCCAATAATTCCACGTTTTCTTCCGTTAAATACTGCCTTGTTTTTTGGGCTGCGTGCGAGCTTGCATTGTCTTGGTGGAGGATGATGCTTCTTTCGGGGTTGATTTTTCGAAGCTCGGTGATGACTTTTGGCAAACAAATGGTGGTATACCAATCTGCAGTAACAGTTCTTTGCTCATTAAAAGGAATTGTTGCAATATGACCCGCTTTTGACACAAACGTCGCGACCATCTTTTTCGAAACACTCCGAGAACGGATGACTTTTGTTGGCTTTTCTTCACCTTGGAACACCCAAACAGCCGACTGTCGTTTATTTTCTGGTTCATAATAGTAAATCCACGATTCATCACCACTAACAATGCTGTACACATTTTTTGAGTTTCCGGAATTGAAACGCTCAAGCGTTTTTTGACACCAATTAATCCTGGCTGATTTCTGCTCTGCAGTCAAAAGGTGGGTATCCAACGAGAAACTAATTTTCTTACTCCTAATTCTTCATGTAAATTTGTTTGCATTGAGGTCTTTGAGATCTTCAAGGACGCCTCAATCTCGCGATATGTAATAATAATAATAATAATAATAATAATGTTTATTGGAGTATTAATACACACATAATAGAATCAAAATACGAGCAAATAATATAACACAAAAAAAAAATACTCCAAAGGGCTGGGGATTGGCATAGCCATTTTTCACCCCCGCCTGAATAGCTAAGGTAAATTCATTAAGTACATTACTATATCTTACTAGGGTATATCATATACATTTCATAAAGGATATTTGGTTGACTATAATAATGCTAACAAAACTTTAAAATATAATAAGATTAATAATGAGATTTATTCAGCCACTTGTGGATTCATTAAATTGTAACTGTAATAGCATTCCTTTGAATTCTCTTTTGAAGCTGTGAATGGACGTTAATTTAAAGAAACTTGGGTAATCATTTAGTATACTGGGAGCTATGTAATAGAAACATTTTTTAAATTTTGAGGTAGTGTGGGCTGGTATATTATAACAATATTCATTACGGAGGAACAGTTGATGGAGTGAAGATCGTTTCTCTAATGAGTCAAAAAGATATTTCGGAGATTTATATTTTAAAACCCTAAATAGTAGAACAGCATAGAGAAGTAACGAGCGATATTTGAACTTTAAAAGATTTTCCCTTACATAATACCCAGTAATGTGTTCGCGTCTGTTTATCCCATTGAAACAAAACCTCATACAATGGTTTTGTAAAACTTGAATTTTCTGTTGCATTTCCTCAGTGATAAAAGGGTAATATACAGTACTACAATAATCTAAATGTGTGAGGATTAATGCATTAACAAGTTTTAGTTTGATATCACTTGTTAATATATACTTATATCTCCATAGCGATTTGTATTTATAATAACATATTCTGAGCTTATTTTCACTTTTTCAAAACTTAAATTCTTATCAAGTACTATTCCCAAATTTTTTGTTTCTTCAACAAATTCAATATTAATTCCTTCTAAAAATATGTTCGTATTTATTACTTGTTTACACTTCAGAATTGCTAGTCTAGAACCAACACAACATACTTTGGTTTTCAAGGGATTGAGCTTCAAACAATGATTTTTTAAGTACTGTTCAATTATGTCTAAATTTTTATTAAGTTCTAATATTAAAGAATTTACATCGGTTGGTTGACATGGTTTGTAAACTTGTACACCATCCGCATACAAATGTACATTCCAGTCAGATGATATATGTTTTATCAGATCTGAGGTATAAGAAGTAAATAAAATAGGACCTAAAACGCTGCCTTGTGGAACACCAGACTTCAAAGCTCGTAAAGTAGACACTTTACCACGCAATTTTACACATTGAGATCTATCAAACAAGTAATTACTAAACCACAGCATGGCATTTCCGGTCAAACCATAATGGTGCAGTTTTTCAAACAAAACTCTGTGATTTACCATGTCAAATGCCTTGCTGAAGTCTAGCATGACTAGTAGCGTTATCATGCCATCGTCTATAAATTTCACTATATCACTGGAAATTATAATGAGCGCTGTAGATGTATTATGTAATTTCCTAAACCCAGACTGGGTGTCAGGCAACACTTTGTTAATTTCTAGATGCTCACGAAGTTCATCATCTACATTTTTCTCTAACAGTTTGGACATTGAAGGTAAAGCACTTATTGGTCTGAGGTCCTTAAAATCGATGGCATTATTAACTTTTGCAAGTGGTGTTATGACTGCTTTTTTCCATAATGATGGCACTTCCCCTGTACTCAGTGATTGGTTGATGATACTGGTTAGCTGATATTTACAAAAAGAGAACACGTTTCTCAACATGTCACATGTCTCTCTTCAATGATGAGTTTGCGCACAGCATCGACGTTTTCCTGGGTGACTGCCGTTTTTGGTGCACCCACCCTGGGATCGTCGCTAAGACTCACCCGTCCACGTTTGAATTCCTCATACCAACGGGAAATTGTCGACTGATGTGGCGCTTCGTTGCCGAAAACAGACAGTAACTCAGCAAGGCATTCTTGTTGCGATAATTGTCTCTGAAAGTTGTAATAAATTATGGCGCTAAAATGTTCTCGATTGAGTTCCATTTTTCTATTGACTTGGTGACACTTAAAAATTCACGTATTGTTGTGAAACTTTGAATTTAAGTTTACTAAAGAGTGAGGTTAAGATTCAGTACTGACGTTCGATCCGCGCGGCCTACTATGTTTCTATATGCAAAATTTAAAAGACATCCCTCGGACAGGGTGTCCTGAAAGTTGAGATTTTCCGTTTCTGAAAAAACTAAGTTCAAATAACATAACTACTATGCAGCAAAAACGTAAAAAAAGTGAAGACAAGTACTGACTATTTATTTGTAAAAAAATTTCAAGCACTGTCCTGTCACATGTTGGACGTAAATACTGTTTGTAGCTGTTTGTTAAATTTTACTTAAGGCATCTTTCTGAGCTAATTAGGTTTTCTACCGTGTCCAGCTCGACGTCGTTTCCACGAATAAATAAACCTATGCGGCTTGGGACAGAAACATTCCGAATAAAGATCTGAAAGTATTAATAATATCTTGACCGTACACTAACATCAAATCGATAAGATCGTAGTTGCTATAGGAATGTGCCAATTTTGTTTCTTTTTTGTATTGTATTTAAAAGAACACAGACTTGACATGAAATATAAAAATAAGCACAATTTCTTTATTATAAAGGCCCGCCCCGAAAATGTACCCTCTTTTAAAATATATTTTTATCTTGCTTATTCCTTTGGAAAATACTAGACAAAAAGAGCAAACACTACGTCTACATCTAAGTCGTAAAATTGAACGTTTTATGAAATGTCTGTCCAGTGTGTCGACATCACACAACAACCACAATACTGAAAGACGTAAAAATTTGTAAACTTAGTACCTGAAACCGAAGGAAGGTTATATACGCGAAAATGTATATGGCGTCAAAAAGGACGGATAGATCAAAATATCTCGAAAACATGTTTCCTATAGAAAAACATAGGATAAACATTTTAAGATTTGAAAAGATTCATCCATTAGTGATCTTCAATAAGACCTTTACTATGGTCCTCAAAGTAATTTTGAGACAGTTTTCTTAAATGAACATAATGTAAAAAGCGGGAAATTTTACGTTGAAGTATATCTTTGTCCGTGACCTTGACCGATATCTTCATAGGTATTTGAGGGTATCTAGAAAGGATAGGACCAAATACCTCGAAAAATACGTTTCATAAAGAAAAATTTGAGTGAGATACTTGTAAGGTTTTTAAAAGATTCATCTAATAGTAACCTTGAACGTGACCTTGAGTTTGACCTTCAAAGTCATGTAAATGTTAAGGCAGTTTTATTAACTGGAAACCTCTATTTTTGACACCGTAAATAAGAAGAGCCATGTATGTACCCGACCTTGACTATGACCATGAAGGTCATTTGAAGACCAAATGAATTTTTAACGGAAAACATCTATTTTCAAGTCTTGAAATGCACATTGCGGACAACTTTAAATTCAACTGTAAACTTGGCGATGAACCTGACCACCTTCAATGTCATTTTAAGATCAGACGTAGTTTCAAAAAGGCGCACATACCAAGTTATTCCGCCCCTGTCTATTTTAGCTACTACTGGAATTATTATTGCAACTAATTCATATTCATATGTACTTACAGCAAATAAAATCTACATAATATCTATTTTAGTCAATGTGTACATCCAATAAAGGCGAAGATGAAACCTGCTTATCAGATTCTGGCAGCCCTGTAATGTGTGGTGACATACAGTTCGGCATCGTCTCCTGGGGAGTGGGCAACCATCCCATGGTCCACACAAGAGTTGATGAATATCTTGAATTCATCAGCCAGGTGACGGGTTTAGAGTTGAGTTTAGGAGCTAGAAGTCTTGCATCAAGAAAAGCCGTTCACTGTTTCTTGTATATGAGTATACTTGCCATGTTCATTATGAAATAAATGCATTATACAGGGTGTCCAATAAGTACCACGACCAACTTAAGGAGAAGGTAGGCTTTGGACACCCTGTTTATTATAAACAGTCGTATGTTTCTTCCTATAACGCTGCCGTACATCCAAAGTATTAGTTAGGTACAAACCTTGATTGCTTTATAAGAATATCTATTCTCTTTGTCCTTGAGTAGATTATAAAATAATAAACAGTAGTTTAAAAAAACTAAAAAACACGCTTTTATAGCTAACCGAACTGCAAAGTAGAAAATAATTTTTAATTAGAAAGATATTACATTACAGCAGTAGATGGTCCAACAATCAATCATAATTAATGACTTCAAAATAAAATTATAATAAAATTTAAGTTATTAACAGAATTATTCAATTCGGAGTAAAAAGCTCTATCCCTCTTACTCCACTACATAGGACCTATAAAAGAATTTATCAATCCTGGCGGTCCTAATAAGGATAATGGAAAACTGTTATCAAATTATTGCATTGTTATCGGTCCCTGATACGTGAGCGAAGCTTCAAATTAATCAACCATCTGGAAATTGGTGAAAATTATGCTCAAAGATTCCGATACATACATACAGGCTAAGCTAATAAAAGCGTGTTAAAAAAGTGTCCCAATATGAATTTCGGGAAATTGTTTTCAAATAAAAACTACAATTTTGGAAAAATATCACGTTTGTTTATACAGGGTGTTTCAGTGTATTGTTGCATAACTTTAAGATTGGATAGAACTTTTAAAATTAATGCATAAAGTCTATATAAACATGGGTCGAAAAATGCGTGGCTTCCGAAATACAGGGTCTTTAAATTTACTTTCTAAAATAGTTTTTTTTAATATTTCGAACAATATTTGATGTATAACAGTGAAAATTGGTATACAAGGGTTTTTTAGTAAGACAAAACGAACCATGGGCATAGTTTTACTGTAGCCGCTAGAGGGCGCTCTCTACTGTACCTATAGTATATTAAAATGACCGAAAAAATTTTCTTAGTGCAATTTTTTGCTTTTTGAATAAAAATACTGATTCTTCGCACTTTTCAACATAAAAAAGCTCTCCTGTGAGTTTTCGTTATAGTTAGCCCTTTTAAGATATTTCGATTTTAAAGGTTCGATGCATTTTTAGAATGTAGGCTGTGCATGCAAATATTTTTGGAATTGAAAGCAGAACAAGGTTAAACGTCAATTAGTTGACAGTTAGTTTTGTTGTCTGTTGAAACCTGAAACGTTTTTTTTGCAATTGTGAATGCACGAAATTTAGTTTCTTTTACCTGTTTTTTTGTTGTGCGTTTTATAAAAATGCCATTTTTATTCTCCAATCAAGAGTTAGCGGATATTCATTTTGTGTATGGCTTTGTAAATGGAAACATAGCAGAAGCAGCCAGAGAATACGCACGAAGATTTCCAAACAGACGACATCCAACTCGCTCAGTATTTGTAAGAGTACATCTCTAAATAATTCAAAATGGTTTTGGAAATCTCCAAAGGCATCAAAACATAAATGTTCGTCAGCGCAGATCTACCCGTATGATTCTGCGTGAGTTTGATAGAGATCCGACCACAAGTGTTATGAGAGTTTCTGGTGCCTTGGGAATTTCAGCAAGCCATGTTCACCGTGTTCTTAGAAATGACCATAGACGTCCTTACCATTTGCAACCTGTGCAAGGACTACAGCCAGGGGACGGAGAACGAAGAATCACATTTTGTCAGTGGATTCTTGATAGAACTGATAATAATAGGGAGTTTTTAAGTAACGTTTTATCGACCGATGAGTCATGCTTCACTAGACGTGGAGTGATAAATTTACATAATCAACATATTTGGTCGCATGAAAATCCGCTTCAGTTCGGGAAAGAAATTTTCTGCATGAATTTAGTGTGAACGTGTGGATTGGTATCTATCGTGATCGACTATTTGGACCCTACCTTTTGCCTGCAAGGTTAAATGCTGCGACCTTCTTGGAATTTTTAAAGGCTCAACATGCAAATATGTGGGATGATGTTATGTTAGATTTAAGAAGATTGGCCTGGTTCCAGCTTGATGGTTGTCCAACTCATTATTCGAGAATAGTTAGAAACTGGCTGGACGAAAATTATCTAGAACGATGGATCGGCAGTGGAGGACCAGTCGCCTGGCCTCCACGATCCCTTGACCTAAATCCATTAGATTTCTTTGTGTGGGGATTTCTAAAAGAAAAAGTGTACCAGACATCCCGTAACCACAAGAGATATGCTAATAGACAGAATCAGGAATGCATGTGATCAAATAAGGCCTTATTTGAATAATGCTATACCACGTTCGATCATTCGTAGATGTGAATTGTGTATTGAACAATTGGGTTTACATTTCGAGCAACTACTTTAGATTTTGTATGTTTGTCCTAACTATCCAATAGCATTTTAGTTGTAAATAATTAATTGAAGTTGTTAAAAAAAATATTGGAAAATTAAACAAATTAATATTCTGTTTTTTGTGTTTATTTGGAGTTAGGAATTATTGCTGTGTTTAAAAACACAATCTAAACGATCATCTTAATTACTTGTAATGCCCAAATCGAAAATGTAAAAAAAATATTATTTTCCCATAAATAAATAAAAATGCATCGAACCTTAAAAATCGAAATATCTCAAAAACGGCTAACTATAACGAAAACTCACAGGAGCGCTTTTTTATGTTGAAAAGTGCGAAGAATCAGTTTTTTTATTAAAAAGGCAAAAAATTGCACTAATAAAAATTTTTCGGTCATTTTAATACACTACAGGTACATTAGAGAGCGCCTCTAGCGGCTACAGTAACACTATGCCCATGGTTCGTTTTGTCGTACCAAAAAACCCTTGTATACCAATTTTCACTGTTATACATCAAATATTGTTCGAAATATTTAAAAAAAAACTATTTTAGAAAGTAAATTTAAACACCCTGTATTTCAGAAGCCACGCATTTTTCGACCCATGTTTATATAGACTTTAAGCATTAATTTTAAAAGTTCTATCGAATCTTAAAGTTATGCAACAATAAACTGAAACACCCTGTATAGGGTGCGTCACAGGGAGAGGGAGTTGTTGTAACCGTTGAAGCTGACAACACCACGCTGTCAAGTTCCATCCATTCCTTCCTTGTATGTACTGGGATCGGTAATCGATGTTCTGTGGTGTATTCTTCAGCGTCACTAGATCTCTGCTGTTATGGTATTTCTCGTCAAAGGATTTCTGGAAAATGGTATTTTGGAAAAACAAATTTCCATATAAAAAGTGCTCCGTTCAGGATTTTCTGTACAGAATTACTATCTATACATGCAATAACATCCAAATCCGAAGTTATGATATGTGCTCAATCATCGCGTCGGTTTTTTAAGTTGGGAGGTGGTAGAACTTGAGCGGCGATCAAGTCTCCATTATAGTCCAGGAATGCAAGTTGCAAATATGAGGAAATTTAAGGAAATCTGAGGAGTTCCAAATAAATTTCTATACAGGAGACTTTTTTTTTCAAAAAAAGTATCATGCGGACCTAATAACAGAGGCGGCAGCCAGTCAAAAATCAAGTTCTATCAATGCCAACTTGAGTCCTATGCATTTGGTATTATTTACGTTGCTGTCAACTGTTACTGTGACATTGAGAGATATTCGAATTATTTGCTTGTACCGTTGTTGGCGCTTAAATTCAATATAAACATCTCTCCAAAAATTATCTTCCTAAATGTATGTAGGCAAATGATAAACTTGATTCTGTAACATGGCGTGTCACATTCGTGACGTCAGACTTATGAAGCGTAACCACCATTGGAAAAAATCATCCGGGCACCCACGGAATTAGATAGGGACAAGAAGATCAAAGGGACCGACAGTAGCTATCGCATCTGTATAATCTGTGCCTATGGACGCAGACCTTGGAGCAAGGACATAGAGGAGTAAATACAGCTCATTTATTTATTCATTCGTCATTTATTGGTCTCAGCACTTCTCTCAGAATCAACCAGCTCAATTTGAAGTGCCTTGGGTAGTCTAGCTTGAAGCCAAACCATACACTGATTCTTACCTATTATCTAATTGATACGAAATGCACCCAAATGAGGCGGACAATCGCCACTATATCCATGGCCAAGGGCAGGATTCGAACCTGCGGCCCGTTTAGCCGATATATCAGTAGCTACCCAGGACCCCAAGAGTAAGTACAGCTCGCCGTGCACTCCTCCCAACCAAGACAATATTTGTCGCAATTTTGTCAACGCCTGGTTAGGGTCGAAAAATTTGGAGATAGATTTAAAATTTGGTTCGTACAATTTTTTGGACCTGGCATCATGCAGACTTATTAAAAAGGGGTTCTTTTTTTAATATAACATTATGTAAAAGAATACATCTACCTGTTGTCTTGGATGTAGGCAATGAGCAAACTTCTGAGGAGGAAGCTCCTCCAAGAAAACGTATCGATTCCAAATATCCCGATCATAGATGATGGGACTGGAATAGATGCCGCTCAAGCCGAGTGGACAAGTTTCATTCAAACAACTCTACAGCCTGCAGCTGTACTTACAGTACAACTACACGGCAGACCTTTTTTACCTGCGGACATTCGTCAGAACATCTCTGACCAGAGAGCCGCTATTAAGCAGTTAAGAAGATCTTGCCATACTGATGACATTTGTAGGGCTACGAATCTTGTCTATGAATTGAGAAACGCGCTCCATGAATTCCGTAATGAGCAATGGAGCGATTTTCTGGCTGGAATGCTTGATTCAAGTATTCCTCTCTGGAGGGTCGCAGTCACTCAAAAACGGAAAGCGAGATCAACTCCCGTACGTCCACGGTCCTGAAGGCATAGTCTTCAGAACAGATGATAAGGTCGAGGTTTTCACTGACGCCATGGAAAAACAGTTCTCTCCTAACTATGATCTTGATAATGACCTCGACGAGGAACAACTCTGTAAGATCCGTCAGGAGATATTTTAGGACTAAAGGCGTTAGCAGAGGCACTGTATCCTCTTCAGATTACTCTTCTTCAGAAGATTCGTCTGAGGTTTCGCGTAGCACATTAGAGGAACCCTCCGAGGTTCCACATTGCACTCTAGTGGATCTCCT